TCCCCACCGATATTTAACCCGATATTTGATCAGCTTCTGAGTTTCTAAAGTCTAAAAAAAATAAAAAATACTACTCTTCTTCTTCCTCAAAAACTTCTTTTTTACAGACTTAAAAACTTCTAAAGTCGAGGGAAAAAATATTGATACATTAAAATATCACAATATCTTCATATGCTGATATATTGCCATTTAAAAACACCATATCAATCTCTTTTACTAATGAAATATTGCTATATGTCATCGTTATGCTACGAAATCCCCCGAAAATTCATGAAATTTTGCCATATTTTTATATGTTGATATATTGACGCGGTATCGATCTATTTTACTAACAAAATCTCACAAGAATTTGCAAAATATCACGAGAGTTTGTAACAGAATGATGAAATTTCACGAGATTTTGAAAGTAAAATAGATCGATACCGTGTTTTAAAAAAATCAATTTGATATCAGCATACTGTATGAAAACAGATTTGAGTATATTATTTTTCAAAGTGTCAGAAATGGATAACCAAACTTCTATTTTCAATGACTACTTATTTTTGTCCAGCTTTAACATCGGTATCGATATCGGTTATCGGCTACATGAGTTTTAAAATATCGGCATATTGGATATCGGCCAAAATCCCAATATCGTACATCCCTATTCACAACAATAAAAAGATAATACACTAAATGTTTTTGGTTAGAAGTATTATACAGTTTAAAATAAAATAGAATAGAATAAAAAAATCCTTTATTGTCCCAAAATAGGAAAATTGTGGTTTTACAGCAGCAAAATCATTAAAATAACAAAAAAAGTGTATAAAAATAAGAGAAAAAGTGAGAGAGATGTCCTGTCACCCGGAAATTAAATAACTAATATACAGCTGTTGAAATTTTAACAGTAGAAGATATGGGAAAGTTGCGCAACATCAGAGATGTGCAAGATGACAGCAGCATGTTATTTAAGTGACTAAGACAGAAACTGTGCAAAATCAGCTTAAATGTAACAACTTATTGAGATTGTTGAGAGCAGTGATGGTTATACAGTCTTACAGCTGCTGGGGGGAAGGATCTGTGATAACGCTCCCAACAGTTTATCAGTTATGAGTATACATTTAAAAACAATAGGCAATAGCCTGACTTTATCTTTATGTATTTAATTCACTGGGAGTTTAGTTTCCCCCACATGCTATAAACGCATCACTCGCTCCCCCTCCAAAGTAGAAAGCGTTCTGGCATGCACTACGACGAGCATGTGCGTTTACTTATGACAACAAGACAGCGAGAGCTATGGCAACAGTCTAAGACTAAGCTAAAATAGATAATAAGTCTGAACAGGACCCAGACGAGCTGGTTCCGAAGATAAAACAGCACTGGATCAATACTATGGCAGTGGTTTGGAATTGACGAACAAAATACGGTATTTGGCAAAGCATGCCGAAAAACCATTGCCACAAAAGTTAGAAGTACCACAAATTTATTCCACCACCTAAGAATTCATCCAGTGGAAAATTAAGACTAATTTAAAAGAGCATAAAAGAGCCTCTTTATATTAAATGTTTATTGTGTTTCAGATTTTTCCCTAGTGTTCCTTTCGGCCGCTGGGATGTTCTGTTTTTAAGGTCCAGTGTTGACCACGAAAGAGCTCTAATGTTGCAATATTGTACTTTGTGAAAACCCTCTATCTATATACCAATGCAACTTTAGGCACTATGTGGCTAAAAACATTAGTTTTTCAAGGTTAATTGATCATCCCTCCATTTTCCGTCACACTTTATCCCAGCTGAGGTTGCGAGGGGTGCTGGTGCCTATCTCTAGCTCTCTACGTTGCAGAGGCGGGGTCCACCCTGGACAGGTCACCAGTCCTTCGCAGGATTGTTTGATCATATCGTGATATATATCGTATATATAGTGTATTGTGATATAGCCCAAAGATATTGTGATATTAAGTTTCTTCATATCACCCAGCCCTAGTCCAGAGTAGGAATTAGATGAGATGTGCCAATGAAAATGTTTGTGTGGCATTCAGATATATTTAGATGATCCATTAGAATATTCAGGTTTTAGGCTAATGAAGAACAAAAAAGATAAAAACCTAAACTTTAAAGTCTTTTAGAACCAACCACAGTCCTACTTCCTTTAATTCACACTGATCATTTAACACAACAGAAAAACTACATACATGTTGGTTAAACACAGTGCAGATCAGGGAGATTAGTTTTTAGAGGCTGTTTTATTTTTACATTTAGATATTTTGTGTTGTTTTCTCTTATTTATATGCTCACCGGAACCAAACTGTTACAGTTCTAATTTGTATTTAACGAAAGGGATCATTTTTTAATCTTCTAAATACCACTAAGTTTACATTTCCAACTTTGAAAGGTTAATTTATTTTGAAAAATAGAAAATAGTTTTCTACTCTCACTGCTGAGCTACTGGAAGGCATATTGTAGAAGTACATCTTCTGAATGCCAGATGTGTCATATTCTGCCGAGGCTCAGTGTACTGGAACCATAACACATGGGTTTGAAATAAATAGTTAGTTTTTTTTTTTTATTAATTGATAGTTTATATGCATTTCATCTTTCCCCTGCCCTATGCAAAACAATCTTTGTCTTCTTTTTCTTACTGAATCAATTATGTTTTTTTTTTTTGTTTAATCCCAAAATTATATTTAAAAGTCCTTCTATGGAGAGAAAAAAACAAAAACAAAATAAGATGTTGCTTCAGTAACTGCATATGGTGCATAAATGGGGAGTTGTAGGCACAAGAAAAGGGATAAGGACAAATTGCACAGTCGTGGTGAGCAGTCATCTGCCACGACCTTTTCAGGGTTTAAGAAGAATCTTCTCACTAAGAAAATTATTAGAGCACATTCTGAGGTACTTCATTTGATATAAAAAGGATAATGCATTGATGGAAGGAGCAGCTCTTTTAGAAGTATCAGAAGAAAAAAGGAGAGGCTTCATCGGTCCAATCCATAGGATCAGAGCAAGAAGAAGTGCAGTCAGTTATTCAGTGTGGTAAACAATTCAAATCTCTTACAAATGGAGAATTTTTGTAATTCTCTTCTTTTAAAAAGGAACATTTGCAGATATTTTTCGTCAGACTGTGGCACACCCATACATTATCTTTGATTATATATACAGTTTGGGCTTTGAAAGAAGATTTTTTATTATTATTATTACTCTTTATTTTTGCTGGGAATAGACAAAAGATATGTTTTAGATTGACAAAATAGAAAACACTCAACCCAAGAAGTTAGGAACACTCCTGCACCTTTCCTTTAATGTGTAAAACCCTTTTTAATTATATAAAAAAAAAAGACTTATGAAATTTACGAAATTCTTTGTGATAAGAGTAAAAACACTGATTTCTGATTTCTGGTGTAAAAAAGTTTTGACCCCAGGCGTTTTTTGGGAGCAGTAGTTTTAAATGTGGAACGTAACAAAATAATACCAGACCAGATGTAACTTTAATTATTAATATATTTACCAGAAAATGTTGTTGAGTTAAAGGTACAGGAGAGAATTTTCCTTTTTTTTTTTTAAGAACCAGCCCTTCCACTTAAAAAAAAAGAAGCACATGCACAAGCCCAGTTCTCCTCATTTTAGTAGCATTGATGTGAAATGGATTTCTCCAAATAAAATGTCAACCTTTCGCTGTCAGGTAGAAACTTTGCAACCGAAGAATCAGTGGGAAGCCCGACCTCTGCTTTCATTGTACGCCATCACATAAAAAACTCTTCCAACGTAGACACTTTTTATCTTACGGCCCTCGGCCATTTTCAAAGAACAGCGGTGAGAAAGGTGAGCTGAAAGTGTGCATGCGCAGAAACAATTCACCTGTGATTGACAATTAGGAGAACCACTTATTTTGATGATCCCCTCGGAAAAAGAACGCCCTCCCCTATACCTTTATTGGCCTTCCTTTTGGAAACACTGGAAAACCTGAGCTTGAAAAGATATGTGCTCAGTTGGAGAAATGCATAACAAGCTTTAAAAGTGAAACAGTGAGGAGTAACTAAAAATAGGTTATAATTCTATATAATGTCTGGCTGCAGTTTTGGACCAACTTATTGTTTTTTTTTGTTTATATAACGCACTAGAATAGTCTAGCCCCTTGTAACAAACAAACTGACAAGTAAGGAAGAGTTTCAGTTTAAGAGATGCTTCACAGGTGAGGGAATTTTAAGGTGCGTCATCACTTCCTGTTTTGCTCTCATATAAGAAGGACTTCCATAGCAGTTTTGTAACAGCAGGGTCCTAAAATGTTCTTGTATCTCTTTTATGTTTCTAGTTTTGCACATGCTATACATAAGCTTTTCACACTGTACACGGCGAGGAAAAGAAATGCTAATTTTACAATTAACATTTCTGTAATTAGTATGGAAAGATAATTGCAGCGGATGTGCAATTAGCATTATGTAAAGTGATTTTCCCCAGACGTAGGGGCCAATCAGTTTGCCCCTTTTACCTTCTCTGTTCTGTAAATGATTCTGGAGATGCTCAGCTCCAAACACCAGAGAACTTCCTGCTCTCCCTTCCTCTCCAGTGAGTGCGATTCACAAAGCTGAATCGGTCGGGGTCACATGCTCTTGCAGATAGGAGGTTTCAGGAAGTTTCTTTATGCTTCTCCTTTTCATTTGCCTGTGAATATGAACGGAGAGAGGAGGGAAATCACTGTCATAGCAGCCGTTGCAGCACAAAGCCTCCTGATTGCATTTTGGACTCAGACACGCTTTTTTTTTTCCTACAGGGAAAGCAAATGTTCCTGCACAGCATGACTGACTCATTGCCTGATTTTCCTCTCTCTACTGTCGCTGCTCATACTTTTTAAATCCAGCTTTAGTTCTCATTATTTTCCTTCTATCTTGATGCTTGTAAGCTTATAGTGGGATTGATGAATACAGTTATCAGCGACTGGTTATTAGAAATAAAGAAAAGTTGCTTCTTCAATGACACGGTCAGCTTCCTGTTGTTTAAAAGTTATGACATGTATTTCTTTTTTTTCAGGTTTTAGACATCAGAACAGCACTATATCGCACCTTTTTCAACTACTGGACAGCAACAAAGATGGCAGGTGAGTAAAACGCTGAGTCCAAAAGGTTTTTGGTTGTGTTGATTTAAAACAGGAAATGGTATAAAGACAATTTATCTTTATAGGTCATTATGATAAAAGCAACTTCCATTTTTTTAAGCTATTTTATCAAAGCTTTTAGTTTATGTATTTGATTTCACAGATTTTTAACATGGCTAAAAAAAAGTAAAATTTATTTGAAAACATTATTTTTTGGGGAAAATTTTTGTCAAATTACATTTTTTTTAACCAGTTTTTCTGAACCTGAGTTCAGTTTTACAAGCTATGGTGAGAACTTTATCTTACTTATGAAGTCGGTTGCAACAATACTATTTTTTATCATTTAAGATATTCAGAAGCCCCTTGAAAGCACTTTTTAAAGATCAATTTTCATGCTTTTATCATAATGCATATCAATCTATATTTTACCACATACAATGTTTAGGTTTACTTAAATTTGATTACTTACAAGTAATGTGTACCTCGTTAGATGTACATAAAACATCAACAAAAAAAATCTGTGTACAGCAGTAATGGTTATGGAATATGGTAGTAAACAATAAAAGGATTATTACCACATGTGTATTTATCTGGAATATTGCAACTGTATCAACACTTTGAATTAACCTTATGGAAAATGTGATTAATCACTTAATTCTTCCAAAAGCTGGAGCCTAAAAAAAGCAAGTTAATTTATAATAAATGCAATCAGTAAATCCGGACAGTCAATGTGTAATTTCTTTTGTTACATTGGCTGATTTTGGATTTGCTATTTATTCCATTAAGCATTTAAATCCTAAAAAAACTTCTGTAGAAATCTGCTGCATAATGTATAAAGTTACATAGCCCTGGAAAATGTTTTCATCATCATCATCATCATCATCATCATCATCATCATCATCATCATCATCATCATCATCATCATCATCATCATCATCATCATCATCATCATCATACTTTTTACACATAAGGGATCTACTATTCAGTCTACCAGGAGGCCACAGGTGTTATTCCTCCACTGATACTGTTTCTTTCCTAGTCAATGAAAAAAGCCATTTTGTCTTTTTTATTTTTATTTATTTTATTAATTTTTTTTACTGTAAAGTGTAAGAAAAAAGAAAACATTAAAGAAGTTTTTTAGAGCATGTTTCACTTCCTGCTCTATTCATTTTAGTAAGGGGCTTGAATGTGTTGGGCTATGAAAAGGTTTGGAAGGTTGGCTGTTTTCAGTGTTTCTTTATGTTTCAGTTGTATGTTTTCACTATCTATTGATCTAATATCCTTAGCCTTCTTACTGAAGTTTACCTTGGACACCTGTGACAATGCAGAAAACCTTGCAGGAATCCTAAAGAAGCTGTCCAGCATTTAAAGGTGTATTTCCTTTCTTGCAAGTGTTGAAAAGTAGTTTTTGAAATATCAGGATACAATATACTTTTGTAAATCGAAAGTGATTAAAGTCTGGTAAAGTAAAAGAAAACCATTGGTGAAGAAAGCCTTCAAATACTGATAACTAAATACAGATTTTTTTTTCCTTTACTGTTTATCTAAGGTTGGCACTCTATTTCTCTTTTTTTCACTCTAAAATATGTTACAATTCTTATTATTTGATGTACATTGTTTTTAAATACTTTTTTCTTTAGATCAGCAACTACCAACTTCTTTAAGAAACATTTTGAGTTGACAGCTTTATATAGTAATATTCTCACCTTTTCTCATTTTAAACCACGTTTTGTTAAAACAATAGCCATAGGCTCTCTGTAAGTACTTCAGGTTTCTCCTGCATTTCCAACTAAAACCTACATGTTTAACATGTAAAGTACTTTTTAATGCCTGTGTTTTTAAACATTGGCAGTTAGAGATTACAGCTTGTTGGTTTTAGCTGCTTATTTCTTGGCCTCTACTTTGTCTGGGCTTTTGTTGACAGATCATAGCAACATAGACATTGATAGCGATCACAGTGGGACTTAACCTCGCAAGGCTTCCAACCAAAGAATGGGGACTGTTTTGGAGCTGTAAGTTGTCACAAAGTGGCTCAACGATTGTGACAAAAAAGTTGGAAATGGACATGACTTATTAATGTTTATTTGGAAAAAAGACAATAAAATGAACAGTTTTAACTATAAACTGAGAAGAGCCAAACCTGTGCAAATACAGAATTAACCAATCTAAACCAAGCCATACCAAACCAACAAACAAGCAAAACCCAGGAGGACAACAGAGGTGAGAGATAACCCCAAAATCCCCCACGTGCAACCTAACAATTTCTTTATAGTATAGTATAATTGATGACTACTGTGATCTAAATGATTGAGACACCCTAACAGCCGCTCAGCCAATCACCCAACACACCCATTCACAAAGAAAGTGCCAACAAAGGACACGGCACCCAAAATCCTGCAAAACAAAAGAACTTAGAAGTTGACCCTTTAACTGGACTTGACCAGTTACCTTCTTTAGCAACCCTGGTACCTGTGAAGCAACCAAAATATAAGACTCCAAGACTTGATGGCAACAGTCGACCAACAGGTCAACAGTTCAACTTAAGGAAAGTAACGACACAAACTGCTAGCATCAACTATTATCCAAACCAACACCAAAAACTGTTTACACCAGAACCCGAATGATCCCACATCAAGCAGTCCAGAACAACAAGAAATTCAAATATCACAAAGTCATTAAGACATTCAAGTTACCAATAAAATATGGAGCCACACCCACAAAGATATCACCATCAGCATGGTCCAACATGTCACTGCTTTCAGTCATTAACACATGACTTTTCCAAAGCACGGTCCTGAAGATACAAATATTTCATTTAACTTTCATTTTTTTCATGATCTCCTTTTGTTGCTCAAAGCCTAGATATTTCATGCAGCATCACAGGAATTAAGGTTTTCTGTAAAACTGGAATCAAAATGGAAAAACAAGCTTCTAGATCATCCTTAAGAGGACCCAGTTCAAGTAACTTTAGTTTAAAAGACGCTTTCAATGGTTCTTTCAAATGCTTATCTATCACTCTCTGGTTGGACTTTTCTAAGATCTCCTTTGATTGCAAAGCAATAACTGTGTCTGGATCAGCATTTTCTTTTTATTTATCATCCTAAAGCTAAACTTATTTACTTAAATAGTAGCATCTATGAAGCCTCTCCTCTAACTTTAATTCCCGCTAACAAATCTCCACCTTCGTCCTCATGCAGCACATGCAGTAGGTCTTTATGTACTGAAGCCTGATCGGCTGGAGATCCACTTGGCAAACTAGCTACTCCCCTGGGATCCAAGGATGTATTTCAAAGCATGCTTTAGCCTAATTTGGCTGTGAAGATACCATACCCCTTGCAGCAATCGTAAAGAGGAAGGCCGCTAAGCCTGCAAGGGGGGAATCCACTGTTTTCTAATTACAGCTTGCATTAAAAGAAAACTCACACCCAACAAACGATAAAGCTCAAGTCACAGACCTATAATCACCCCTAAAGCACCACAAGTCCTCTGGGGGAAAACAAAATACTGTAGCTAATCTAAAAGTAGAAGACTCACCAAATCAATTTGATGACCAAATGTTTGATCCGCAACAGCACATCCAGATCACAGTCAGCCAACTCATTCAAGTAAAGCGTGAACTGCAACAGCTGTTTAAATCTGTCCCTTGCTGATCATAATCAGCAAGGGACAGAATGGAGAAAAAAAATGCAACATAGATCAACAAATTCAAGTGAAACACACCACCCCAAAAAATGACTACAAGTTCAAATTATAGATATAAAAACCAAACAAAGCAACAGTTAAAAAAGAGAGAAAAAAAGCCTGCTAATGTCCAAATATCTCTAATTGTCACAAATTAAGTTAACAAAACTACACCAAGACCAATCCAACCAAGCTGAATGGAAACAAAGCAAGGAAAAAAAAATCCTCCTTTATGCAACACATTAACTTTGCATCTCTTAGAGGTCCAAATGTTCTAAACTGTCTATTGACTCCAATTGACACACCTGCAGCAGCTCAGTCGGTCAGCTCACAGGGTGGTAATAAAGCTGTTTTGCATTTTAGATGACAGATAATAGGTTTTATATATGTCTATATGTAACTTAAGTTTTTTTCTAGACTAGCTTTAACTCACTATGGCACCATATATAGACGGAGCTACTATTGTAACCCACAGAGATACTCAAATCAGGTTTTTATGGGTGAGATCACAATAATAATAATAACAAACACCAATACTGATGCAAAAAAACATAAGGAATGTGCCAAACATACTGTAGTTTTAGACACAAATGCATGATTTAAACAGGAGCACAGTAGTTTGTGAAAATAATGCCTAGGAAATGTAGATGGCACTTTATGACATTCATGTGTACAGTTTAAAAAAAAGGCAGTTTTGGGATGATTTGTATTTTAAGGAAAGTCATTAAGCTGAGACATCTGCACATGTTTTACATTTATAGGAAGCCACTGTCGATATATATGAACCAGGAGACTATTCTGAGCTAGCAATCGTTATGCTCTACATGTTGAGATGTTGATCTAAATAAGGCAGGAGGTGAAGGGATTGTATTTTTATTCAGTAAATTACCGTTTAGGTCCTGTATCTCTCTCCAAAGTGTCAACCTTTATTTAGCTGCTTCTCTGATAAATGCAGTGTCACAATTTATTCCTAATGCTTGCAGTTGCCTGGCAATTTGCTTCCTTGATTAGCATGCATGCTGCATTTCCTTTTATGTTGTACAAAAAAGTTATTTGTCTGACTTTGTCCCTGATGACACTTAACTAAACGTTCCCCAATTCTTAATCTGCTTCATTGGAATTGCTAATTATGTTTAATGCAGATTCACAGATAATTATTCTCTCATTTATACTGTGAACTAATCTCATTTTCATGTCCATTTAGTCACCAATAATTGCTTCATGACAAAGACTGCAATCATTTATTTTCATAAAGGTTTGAACACATTTTAAATCATATAAAGGAATTGCTGCAAAACATCTTTATTATAACAGATAATGAGTTTGGATATAAATGAATACAGTGTAAATATTTCATTCAGATCTTCCACAGGTTGGTTTAAATGGCCTGTCTCTAAACTTCCTAAGAAGAGCATACATGATTTAGTGACACTTCGAATTGGATTTTCGGAAAACATGAATAGAGGGTATCTTTACAGCCCTCAATCAGAATCCTTTCCTGAGACTCTACCAGAATTGCAGGAATAACCCCCATGTTCATAGGAGTATTCAAAGAAAAAATGATTTAGAAAAATGATTTATATCATATTATGCTTAACCAAAATATGGTTTATTGATTCTATTAACTTTTTTTACATTACAACAGGCAAACTCTTCTCATTAGATGCAGATATTGCTGACTACCTAAATTGACTAAACTTCTTTAGAAGGTTTGAGACACTCGAACCCTAGTCCTCCACCTAACCCTAACCCTATCCACCCCAGGAGAGGAGACACTCAACCTCACATAGTTGAAGTGTGGAACATTCTCGAGAAAGTCCCCAGGCCCCGATAACATACCTGAGTGGGTGTACAAGAAGTGTGCAGATCAGCTGGCTGGTGTCCTCACAGACATTTTTAACACCTCGCTGGACGGATCCATAGGGCCAGCATGCTTTAAGTCTGCAACCATCATTCCGGTCCCATATAAGCCCCAGGTCACCTCACTTAATGACTACCGGCCTGTTGTATTACCTCCTATCATAATGGAGTACTTTGAAAGTCTCCAGTCTCCCCCAACATTCTACCTGTTCCAGTTTGCCTATCGACAGAACCGCTCCACTGAGGACGCCATCTCCTCTGCTCTCCACCTGAGCCTGGCAGACCTGGAGGAGACGAACACCCACGTGCGGATGCTGTTCCTGGATTTCAGTTCAGCTTTAACACCATCATCCCACAGCATCTGATGGGCAAACTGGAACATCTGGGCTTCAATACACCCCTGTGCAGTTGGCTGTTGGACTTCCATACAACCACACCTTAGTCAGTCTGAGTCGGACAGAACACCTCTGATGTCATCACTCTAAGCACAGGCTCCCCTCAGGGCTGCGTCCTGAGCCCGCTGCTGACACATGACTGCGTCAGGTCCCCAGGATCACCAATCACATCGTGAAGTTTGCAGACGACACCACGGTGGTGGGACTCATCAGAGACGACAACGACTTGGACTACAGAGAGGAGCTGGAGCAGCTGGTGGACTGGTGCAGAGATAATAGCCTGATCCTGAACGTGGAGAAGACGAAGGAGATACTTGTGGACTTCACAAAGAACTGGCCTAACCACGCTCCACTGCTCATTAACAGCTCAGCTGTAGAGGTAGTTAGCAGCACCAAATTCGTGGGGGTGCACATCGAAGACAACCTTACCTGGAATGTAAACACCACCTTACTGGTCAAAATGGCAAAAAAGAACATGTTATTCCTGCAGAGGATGAGGAGAGCCCGCCTGCCCCCACCCATCCTCCACACATTCTACAGAAGCACCATAGAGAGCGTTCTGACCAGCTGTCTTACTGTGTGGTGTGGAGGCTGCAGCGCCTCAGACTGAAAAAAAGTGAGGAAAATGGTGAGAACAGCAGAGATGATCTACTGTTCTCTCATCCCCACCATGGACCTTTCTCCCTGCTGCCCTCTGAGAACAGGCTTTGCAGCATTCAATGCAGGACCAGCAGATTCCGAAACTACTTCTTCCCCACCGCCGTCAGACAGCTGAACTGTTAAGAAAACTCAAAATCATGTCACAGACTCTCATCACTCTGACACCACCACCAAAACACTGCATAATTCCACCATATATGTCTAATATGTTTTTTTTGCATCATGTTTTTTCCTCCATACTCTTTATATTTGATCACTGCTGCACTTTAAGAAATGGAAATGTCATGAAAGTTGTACAAAAAGAAATTTCATTTTTATACACTTTGCGTATACAAAATGACAATAAAAGTTGTTTAAGTCTAGGTTTCTGTTGCTGACCAGGTTTTTACATGTTTTCAATGTTATTTTGATGGAAAAGGATATATATTTTCTTATAAACTCCAAAGTTTTTGTTTCGTTTGAAGCCCTACTTTACATCAACCTAGTGTTAAAGTGCCTTCATAGATTCAACTTTGGGGCCTGAATGGGCCAAATCAAATTCTCCTTACACAACGTACACCAAAGTATGGAGAAATAAAATTCAGAAAGAAAGGTGCCTTCCAATAGAGGGATGACCATGACCATTATCTGAACTACAGAAAAAGCTTGCAGTGTGCAGACAAGTAAGCAGCTTGTAACAGGAAAAAGCCCCCCCAAAAAATCTACCAAAATCTCCAAGCTCCAACAGACTTTTTCTTTTTTTTAGTAAGGCTCCTTGTGATATGCTCACAAAATATAAAATGTTGCCAATTATGTCCAATGAGCATTAAGTGTATTTATCATGAATATGCCAGTATATACTTCAACAAAGTATTTTAATTTAAATTCCAAGATTTGTTGATTTATTACACAAAAATATGTTCTGAGGTTATTATTTTTTTTAAGTATATGGGCAGCTTTCGATTTCGAGGTCAATATGTCACTTAATTCTGAAGAACTTAATATGTCCGTTTCCTCATTAATCTCAAGTTCTGTTATCATCCTGGCGTTGAATGTAATGTGATGGCCAAGATGTGAATTAAGTATTGCAAAACAGAACGTGTCAAATAAAACTCTGCAAAAAGTGACAATGTTTAAAAATGAATAAAATAAAGTTAATTTAAAAAGCTGATACCATATTTTCCAGACAATAGGTAAAACAGTAATTAATTTTTAACACTGCATTTCAATATAAACGCATCTACTCTCTAACATACGTTAAGTTTTTTAATGATTGTAATCAAAAATGGACCACAGACTGATGCAGCCATTGCCGTGCTTAGCCATAGGGTGTTACATGAATATCCTTGTCGAAACGGTTTAATCATTTTTGTAGTTTAAAATGTTTATGAAATAGTGTAGAAGTTGTTTCAAAATGTAAAAAAAAAAAAACATAATTGGGCTTTCTGCAATGGCAGAATTTTTCAACATTTTCCAAGCAAAAGTTAAACCAGAATTTTCTGAAATAGTTACAGTAGGATACTGTGAATTCATAACTTCTACATGGAAGCTTACTTTTACAAAAATCCATAATATTCATTTTAACACCTTTACACTTTTGGCTGTGTTCACATGGATTTTGGGGAATCTTAAAGAGGTATGACATATTTTTTAAAATATATTTTCCAGATCTATATAAGCATGGAGAAACTGAATAAAGAATGATATTGTAAATTTAAACTTTCAATAATCTAAATATTAGATCCCTCCCACTGCATATCCATCAGTTTGTCCCTCTATCAATCTACCATTGAATGAACTTCCAATCTCTCTTTCCTTCACAATTATACTTAAAACCTGCTGAGAACTCTCAAAGCTTTAGTCTAAAAATCTAAATGTGTAGGAATCCTACATTTTGCGATAGAGGGACTCCCTCAAACTTTGGTTATGAGGTAGATTCTGGCCTTTCTTCTGAGCATTTCGTCCCAAACCGTTCAGTGCAGCACACATAGCCAACATAACCCACTGTGCCAGCTGGCAGGCAGTTGGCAACCCATTTCAGGATTAACTGGTACTAGTATGCTGGCCTATAAATAGAGTCTACCAACTGCTTCAGGAAATGAACCATGATGGAGCCTCCCAAAGGCCCGCGAACAGGATGTGCTTTTTATCCTCTCCCCCTCTGCATGGATTTATCACTGCGTACATCTGTGAGTTCCATGATATTCATTACCGACTTTCTAGGGAGGCCTACAAAAGGATGCGCATTGCAAAACTCCTGCTCTTGTGCTTCAGTGGTCTATATATACGTGTGTATTAATGCCCTGCATGATTGGAGCCAAAGCCAATTTACTTCACAGCAGATTTTCAGAGCCGTTGTTCTGCAGCCTCTGTGCAGCTCTCACAATGGTGAAAGGCATTGTTTCTCTCAAGCACTTACCCTAAGCATTGATCTTCTGTAGGCTGAACAGACTATTTGCTTTGTATGTTTGCCTGCTCTTTCACTTTTGATGCACTCCCAGGATTGATTCTGGCAATGCAGTCATTATCTGTGCTCTGGGGGGGCAGTTTAGACACAACCTCTGGATGGAGCACACAAGCATGAAAAAAAATGGTTAATGACAAGAATTTGTGGTAAAAAATAAAGGAACTACTGTATAGAAACTATACAAAAGCTTTGTGTTTTGAAAGCAGGACAAAGGTTTGGGTTATGTTTCTTGCTTACATTCAACATTTCCTTTATTGGCTGTTGGTTGTTTTGTCAAACTTTAGGAAACAACTTTATTAGGTTTTAATGCAATTTGAAATGTCTGCTATGGTAATGCATTTTAAAAGTAAGCTGTTTGTCTCTGCACTGGATATGGTCTTGTAATGTAATTAACCATACTTCCAAATGGAATGCTTATATAACTCTTTTTTTTTAACCCGCTTAGTATATCGGTGGATGAAATCAAAGCTAAAGTGGTTCTTGTCCATGATGAGAAGCGGGTTCTCTCTGAGGATGAAGCACTGGTGAGTTATTTCTACAGTTCAGTAATAAAGTCTTCTTGAAGTTCTTTTAGGACATGTTTTGGTTAACCTTTTGGATAGGCTACTTAGGTTTCGACTGTTGTTTTTATTATTTTTTAGCAGTAAAACTGTGTTTTCTTTTGTTAAAAAATAAAATACAAATTATTTTACACGGCTGTGCATTTCACATTTCAGCCTTTTTCTCAGTGGTTATAAGGAAATTATTCTTTTCAATATCTGTTACCACGTAAAACAGGTGGGAAAAGGTTAAGCAGTAATAAGAATTAAATCCCACTGATTCTATATAATTGTATAGTCTATGCTATATGCACCTAAGGCTACAAAAAAACACTTCTTATTGATGATGGTGTTCTTAAAGCTAGAGCAGCCAATAAATATTTACTTAACCTTTTTTGATTAAATTGACAGCTAATCTCTATATAAATATTTACTTTGAAATTATGTGGGATGGATTGCAAGTTACAACATAAAAAAAAAAAATAGAAGCCCTTATTTTGTTCGTTTATTATTAAATCACATTAAACTTTTCATATCTCGAATCAGTTGTTATACAAAAAGTATTTTTATTTGCTAAATACTAAACATCGCGGATTTTATCAGTTACCTTTTTTGAAGGGAGAGGTTTTTCAGTAACCAATATCATAATGTCTTCTACCAGTTAGTAAAAGCCTTAATGTGTCATGGCTGCAAGCACCTAAACAATTGAATAACAATGTCTGAGTTAAATGGTGGCAAATCTTAAACGTGCATTTAAGGTATGCAGTTTATGTATTCATCCTCTTTAATAATCAGTCTTAAGCCAATATAAACAGCATTGAAATTTCTTGTCATTATGATTTCAGGAAAAAGACAGGTTCTATGTTTTAGTGTGATATATACGTTTTGACATGAGAACAATAACTGTAGAACAAAAGCAAAATTCCTTGTAATGCTGCTGAAGCTGTGAAGAGACTGTCAATATTAACAGTGAAATGAAATCAGTATCTTTCTTGGCTGAAATGCCGCTCAGTGAGGAAGAAGCCGGTACACACTCAAATACTTACAACTACCGTAACACATAAATAAATTAATTAATTTTAAAAGAAAGCACACCTGGAGAAAAATCCATGTGGGTACTTCAGTGTTAAAGAAATCTGCAGATTAGATAGAACACACTGAGTTGAACGTGAAGCCGAAACCGGTAAAAAATGAAGTGTTTCACCCTGATATCCAAAGATAAATTTGGTGAAAAAAGAGAAAATCTTTCAAGCTAAAGAAAACCATTCTAACATAATGGGGTGGGGGTGTTTTGAACCACATAAATTGCACAATAAAGATCCAACATTATGTATATAGAAATACTGAGGCAAGGAAATCTAAGTTTGGGTTCAAATGGGCCTTTCAAGTATGAAAAACACATATTGTATCAAAAGTTTTTATTTATTTATCCAGATTTTTTTGTAAAAAGAATGAATTACTAAAGGGCTCATGTTTTATAGCCGTCATCACAAAGCTCTGATCTAAGTCCTGTAGAGAATGGATGGACATGAAAAGGTGGATGTTGGTAAAGTGGCTTACAAACCTGACTCAGTTTCATTGTCTGGAGGAAATGGCTAAACACCAACTAAATGATATTAAAAAAAGCTTTTAAAAGTAGATCAAACTGAACAGCACTTAAATAGAATAAAAGAATAATAATTCTGGAAAAATTAGCTGAGATCTGTATTCAAATATCTGGTTTGACTTGCATGTGGATATGAAATAGTTTGTTTACAGGTAAGATATGGAAATACAGAGTAACATAATAGCTCCTTGGTACCAGCTGGCTAAAGGAGGAACTGATCAGGAGCCTTCTTTAAGCAAAATCTTGTAAACAAGAATGCTTTTGTAAAACCAAGGTTGTGTTTTTGTAGGATGTTGTTTTTTATTTATTTTATATAAAAACAAAACTGAAGTATCTTTCAGGGTGGATTCTCCAACCCCTCTAGTATCCAGCTGCCTTGATGGAGGATTACTGTATTGTAGATGTGGTTTTAGAAAATGTATCTTCTGTGGGTTTGTTTATCTTGTCTTTATTTTAGAGGCCCAAGGATGGTTTAAAGTGGGAGTGATTTAAAATTACAAGCTGAGTTTTTAAAAATGTTTTTTTCTCATTTGATTCTGGTTACCGTTTTTGGAGTTTTCTTTATTTGTACAAGTAGATTCTCTTTTTACTTTTTTCAACTCCCTCGAGCTGTTTTCGTATGAGAATGTGGATGTTTGGTTCACACATAATAAGACTTTTTGATCCTTCTTTCACAAGACGTACATATCAAGATAACCCTGTGAAAACAAAAATGGTTAAAAAGTGCTCGGACCCTAAATCTAAACACCACAGGTTCATACCTAACCCTAACCTAAACCCAATTCCTACCTTAGTCATAAACCTAACACCTAACCCTAAAGCGGCAATTGTAGCCATTGATAGCAGTCTGTCCCCACGATGTGCTGTGATTTTTGGAAAACCCACAATGTATGAAATACACCCACAAAACAAAGAAGCTTCTGAGCTCTGATTTGCATGAAAGATTGAAAGATGAGAACAAACTGTCTCCGTTACATTTTCCTGGTTAATGAGAAGACATTCTCAGTGAATTCAGCTGCATCTGAAGAGGATGAATTAGTGTAAAGATTCATGAATATGAAAATGTGTGCTTAACTGCAACCACGGCGAAGTGTAATCATGCTAAGCTAATTAAACGGGCAGCCGTTAAACAAGCAATTTACATTAAAACCGGCGAGGGGCTCTGTGTACTAGGACCTCCAATCAAAGTTGGGGTCTTAAGAAGTTATATCCTCAGAAGATGTTTATTTAAAAGGTTTTTTGACAATGTTTAGAGAATAAGGCCTGGTCATTTTTCTGCAACTGGTGGGGATGCAGTATTGCATCATGCGATTACAAAGGATAGGAGGAATGTTGGTTAATTTATGAGTATAGGTTTAAAATATAGCTATAACTAAATTAAATTCATTTTAGTTTATTAATATAGTGCCAATTCACAACGCATGTCATCTCAAGACACTTTAAAGAGCCAACTATAAACATCATACAGTCAAAGTTATTAAAAGTTTTCTATCTAAGGAAAACCAGCTGATTGCATCAACTCATTGACTCGAAGGCAATCCCTCACACTAAGCATGCTTGTAGTGACAGTGGAGAGGAAAAACTCCCCTTTAAAAGGAAGAAACCTCCAGCAGAACCAGGCTCAGTGTAAGCGGCCATCTGGGGTTCAAGGAGACAGAAGCAGACATACAGAAATACATCACTGCAGTGCTAAATAGCTTAAATTTCCCTTACTGATCAACTTCTTTCCTTTGACACAACTCCTCTAAAAATTTACATCGATATGATCCAGGCTTTCTTTTTTTTTCATTACAGCAATATTGAGTAAGCAGACATTACCGCCAGATTAACATTGTCTATAAACAGGCAGCAAGTAGCATGTATTCAGCTTGATGTAGTGTAATAATAAGAGTGAACTAAATGTCAGTGGCCTGTGAAAACAATAAACTTTAATAATCATAAACATCTCTTTAGTAAAAAGTCCAATTAAAATATTACCAGAAACAGTGATTACTACAACAAAATGATAAGAGCTTGAGCTGTTTTGTATAGTAGTACTAATGTTCATTTTAAGATGGTACCTGATCAATGAAAACATCCTAGAAATATACGAAATGTTTTAAGGTTTGTTTTTTCTCCAATCCAAATCTATCCGACAGTTTCACTGGTATTCTGTTAAAGGCAGGTTTAAGTTAAAAGACAAACATGTAGCTCTGATAGGGATCATAAAAACCCATAAAACCTGAGTTACATTATCTGTGCCAGCCTTTACACTGGCATGCATTGACATACCGTACTGGTACACTGGTAGGCAACTTGCAAGGTGTGGTGTTCAGGTGGGCATTAACATAGGGTCAACTGGTTATATGCTTCTGTACTGCCCCTGTATTTTCAAAGAATACCATACCAGCATCAGCATTAAGTATAAACCCCTGCAGCGCTTCTTCAGGCGTGTGCGCCATGTGTGGAGACCTGCTCAGCATCGCAACTACACCTTGGCTAAACAGCTCACAACAACAGGCAGGCAAGACTGTTACTGTAACATTGTTGAAATCTTAGACGGCAAAAGGTCTTCCTTCAAACCCTCCCAAACCTATTTAAATAACTGAAAAAATAATCCTTTGATGTGCACTTCTGGTGGAGTGAGGTTACTTTTTCAAATTCTGCATGAGCCGACTGGGTAAATGTCCAAGTGTCACCTGCCTTCCATTTTGAGCTTTTAGTCAATCACAGAAGAAGTAGCAACAGCTGTTATTATAATATTTGTTTTACAACTAGCGGAGTTAAATAATAATTCCATCTCTTACCAGATCTGGTTGGGATGAACACGCAGACATCTTCCCATCCATAGAGGCAAACATTTCGTCCTTTTGCTCGTTTTTCAAAAAAGAAATCGAGGGCATTCCAGCTAAAACATGGCAGTGCCTTTTAGTTGACGTCATGCAAGTCACTGCGTTTCATTGGTCCGAAACATTCCTGTATTCACGGCTAATGCATCCGTTGGCTTCTGGAAAGATGTATTTTTGGGAGTTTGTGAATTCATGAATGTCATGATAAATGACCTTGCTTGCAAGATAACAATGACTGTGCTGCTTTTAGATACTGCAGACAAGTAATTTGCGCAATAAAGGCAAAGAAGAACTAATAGTGACTCTACTTGTTTTTTCTTTTTTTCTTTGTGCCTTTGCAGAAAATAGTTATTAGTTTTCAGTTGTGCTGGATTGAACGTGATAAGCATTCCCTCTTTGCACTAACAAGCGGCGATCATATTCTTCTCTTTTCTGCTACATGATTCAATTTGGTTCATTTTCGATTTTCTTTTTTATTAGTTTTCCCACTGTTTTTCTCCTTTCACCTATAAGAAGCTTTGGCCTCCCCTGAAAATTCACTTTCCACTTCA